CAAGACTAGAATTAGAAGACCCCCCTCAAATAAGGGATGTTGAAGCTTCATTTTGTAACTAATAGTTGGCCAGATACTAACAAGAAATTACAAAAGATAGGCCTATAAAAGAGCTTCTAAGAGAAGCACAAAAAGTACATATAAAAAGAGATGAAGGAAAAGCAGAAGCAGAAAGCAAAAATTCTGCTGTCCACCATACAACAAAGTTGCTGTTAAAGGAATAGCTGAGCAATTATGGGTTACTAGGCAGATGGCTTGGGAAAACCGGATAGCCTTACACATGATATTAGCAGAAAGAAGAGGAGTTTGTGTCATGATTAAAGCTCAATATTGTACCTTCATCCCAAACGAATACCACCTCTGATGGAAGTAGAACAAAGGCATTGCAGGGTCTAACTGCTCTGTCCAAGGAGTTAGCCACTAACGTCAGGAGTAAATGACCCCTTCACAGGGTGGCTAGAAAAATGATTCCTGTGAATGGAATATCAGTAACCTCAATTCTTACTTCTCTCATGCCCATGGTAGGTGTTTTCATTCTTGTCAAGTGTTTTGTCATACCATGCATCATGGGCTGGTGAAAAGACACAGAGACAGCGCTTACTAAAACCTCCCTTAACTCTCCTCAACCTTATTCAGAGAAGCTTGTTCTTTTAAAGAATCAAGGAGAACAACTAAGCCAAGACGTGTTAAGGAAGTTGAAGAGGAAAAGCTGTAAAATCAAGAGGGGGAATTGTAAAAGTAAAAAGCTCCTCTTCAAAGTTTCCCTTTTTGTTAAAAAATAAATAATGTGTTAGAAATAATAGTTTATTTTAAAAACTAACTTCCTTCAAGCTTCCTTGCTTATTGCTAATAATTCTTTGTTAAGCCCTATGTAGCTGTTAAGTATAGTAAGGGAATAAGTACATTCCTACGTCCTTGTACTTTAACCAAGTTATTTGTTCTCGCCTATAGCCTGCTCAGACATGTCTGAACATGCCCCTGGCATTTCCTGGCTTACAGCCTCTGTCCCTTTCTTATTTGGAAATGTTATTATTCTCCTAGTTTTCCATAAACAACACCCTTCCTTTCTTTGTTCTCCATCATGCGTTTTCCTATTTAGGGAAGTTTTAAATTTTTAGCCAATCAGGATCAGTCTGGATCATGCTGTCCAGTTCCAGCCAATGGAGATAGGATACAGCAGTTCAGCCATTCTGTGGTGACTCCTCAAAGACTTGAAGACAGATAACATTTGACCCAGCAATTTCATTACTGGGTATATACCCAAAGGAATATAAATCATTCTGTTATAAAAACACATGCACGCATGTTCATTTCAGCAGTATTCACAATAGCAAAGACATAAAATCAACCTAAATGCCCATCAGTGATAGACTGGATAAAGAAAATGTGGTATATATACATCATGGAATACTATGCAACCATAAAAAAATGAGATTGTGTCCTTTGCAGGGACATAGATGGAGCTAGAGGCCATTATCATCAGCAAAGTAATGCAGGAACAGAAAACCAAATATTCCATGTTCTCGCTTATAAGTTGGAGCTAAATAATGAGAAAACATGAGCACATAGAAGGGAACAACATACACTGGGCCTGTCAGAGGGTGGAGGGTGGAAGGAGGGAGAGGATCAGGAAAAGTAACTAATGGGTACTAGGCTAAATAGCTGGGTGATTAAATAACCTGTACAAAAAAAACCCATGACGCACATTTACCTACATAACAAACCTGCATATGAACCCCTAACTTAAAATAAAAGTTAAAAAAAGAAAAGCCATTAGTACAGCACAGTGAAACCTTCAGTGTTGACATAATGCCAACAAGATAACAAAACTAAGAAAGAAAAGATGGAGCAAGAACAAAGACAAGCCTCTTTCATGGGCTTTGAGCTGGGCTGATAATTGTTGTGCTTGTTGGGAGGATAATCATTGCACTTATTTCAGCACGCTCCCTGGACAGTGTGAACTGTTTAATGTTGACAACCCATGTAGAGGCAGGAAGTTACTTGGGCTCCCATTTCGCCTCTCTCCCAAGAACAGTCTTCACTACATGCACCTTCTATCTGAATTTTTCCACTGAAGTTTGCAAAGTCTTTCCTAACAGAACACCCATGCCTAAAATGTTTTCTGGGATAGGAAAAATAAACACCATATACGGGGCAAGGGGAGCTTTCCCAATACATAGATGTAACAAAGACTTTCTCACCCAGATTGTTTGCCTGCCTTGGCCTCCAAAAGTGCTGGGATTACCGGCATGAGCCACTGTGGCCCCCCCAACCCCCTTTTTCTTGAGATGGAGACACTCTGTTGCCCATTCTGGAGTGCAGTGGCACCATCTCAGCTGACTGTAACCTCCACCTCCTGAGTTCAAGCAATTCTCCTACCTCAGCCTCCCAAGTAGCTGGGCTTACAGGCACACACCACCCAGCTGATTTATGTGTTTTTGTTTTTGTTTTTGTTTTGTTTTGTTTGAGATGGAGTTTCGCTCTTGTTACCCAGGCTGGAGTGCAATGGCGTGATCTCGGCTCACCGCAACCTCCACCTCCTGGGTTCAGGCAATTCTCCTGCCTCAGCCTCCTGAGTAGCTGGGATTACAGGCACACGCCACCATGCCCAGCTAATTTTTTGTATTTTTAGTAGAGACGGGGTTTCACCATGTTGACCCAGATGGTCTCGTGTTTTTAGTAGAGATGTGGTTTCATCATGTTGTCCAGGGTGGTCTCTACCTCCTGACCTCAAATGATCCGCCTGCCTCGGCCTCCCAAATTGCTGGGATTACAGGTGTGAGCCACTGTGCCCAGTCTTTCCACATCATATACATCTTGTCCCATTTGGAGGATTCAATAAAGTCAGCAAGTGGCCGTGCCATTCTCCTGGTGTAGGCTGCAGCAATTTAGTTTCCATCCCCGCAGGAAAAACTGTTTTAAGTCCTGTCAAAACCTTTTCTAGTTGCAATTCCTTCTCTAGACATTTAATTTTGGCTTCTGCTGCTGGCTGGACCTTCACTGCCGAAAGATAAAGCCCATGGCAGTGGCTACTGGCCGCCCTTCCTTACCCCAGTGCACTAGCTGCTTTCAGTGAATAACTGCTCTAGGCCACCTGACCCTTTTCAAGGCCTCCCTGTGCTCACACAGAGGTGCACAGGTATCGAACCCCTGTGCCATCCAACCCTACACAGATGTGGCTGCCACCCTGGGATTTCCTTACAGACACTTCATTCTCCTTACCCATTCCTGGTTTTCTCAGCTCCTGGCTGGATCGCCAAGTGTTCTACTATGAGCCTGTCTATACCCCCTACAGGCTGAGGGGAAAAGAGACCAAAGAAAGAGACGGAGAAATCCATGTTCTCACAGAGAAGTATTTAATGGAGACTTCCAAGCAGAAGTGATGTCTGTGGTAGCCGTAAGATGGTGGATTCCTGCACTCCCTCTCCAAAAATATCCCTTTGAGGGTAAGCTTTTAGGTAAAACATCTGCAACTGGTCACATCCCAGACTTTCCTGCCAAAACCCATGACTGCTGGGGAGGTTAGATTAGCATCTTTGTGAGAGGGTAATTATGCTACAGGCATTGTTTTAAGGCTTTGATGCAGAACACCTTGGTATGCAGGAGTCAAACACTGGTCATCTGGCCAGGGGCAGTGGCTCACACCTGTAATCTCAGCACTTTGGGAGGCCAAGGCAGGAGGATCACTTGCAGCCAAGAGTTCAAGGTCAGCTTGTCCAACGAAGTGAGGCCCTGTCTCTACAAAAATTTTTAGAAATTAGCCAGGCATGGTGGCACACAACCAACTCAGGAGGTTGAGGCAGGAGGATTGCCTGAGCCCAGGAGTTGAAGGCTGCAAGGATCTGTCTAAAAAAAAAAAAAAAAAAAAAAAAAATGGCCATCATGGTGGTTCACTTCAAGATGGTGTCACTGTTGCCATGCAGCCGGCTGTTTTCCTATAGCTGCACTGGTAAGATCCAACCCTTTGGTTTGCTGACACTGGAGAAACCCCGTAAGTGGTGGAAGATGGAGCAGTTTCTACTGCTGTGAGTTGGGGTGAACCCACCAACAGACACCAGTTCTCTGCTGAGGGCTCTGTGCCAGCTCCCCTCTGTCTTCCAAGACCTGGAGGACCCTCTTCCCTGGACTCCTGAAAGGGATATGTGCAGCTTTTCTGGGAGGGGATTTATGAGAATCTCAGGGTCTTTGCCACGAGCCTCCGGGAAGATTACACCCTAACAGCCAGAAAGTGTTTCCCTTGGAAAACCAGGAAGCACTGTCTCTCTTCTCTCCAAGGGAGCACTCTGAGGGAGAACAGCACCTCCACCCTGATGGGTAGTCAGGCCCGGAGCACATGGCACTGCCCTGGGAACCTTGACTTCAAATGAATTTCCCCCTCCCTGACACACACACTCACACTCTCTCTCTCTCTCACACACACACACACACACACACAGGAGGTAGTTGCATCGCCTCCCCCTCATCCTGCTCTCAGCTCTCCATATACCGCAGCCTATCACTGTGTACCACAGGCATCATACCTGAGCCCGTAGCGTCCTGGCCTCCCTCCTCATCTCTCCCAAGTCAATTCTCCTGCCAACCAGGGTGTCTGGGAAATCTGGGGATCTTGCCCGGAGCAAAAAGGATTAGAAAGTGCAGACACACAAGTAAGAATGAGGTCTCTGGATTTGACTGTGGAGATTCTGAATGCCGGATGGATTCCAGCATGGAGGTTTTCTCCTGTAACTGAGAAGTTCATCTCAGAACTAGAGACACCCACCCCGGGGCACACGCAGCTTCTCTTTGTCATGTGTGTTAGATGTATTTATTTCTTAGCTAAATGAGCGATATGGTATCCTCTTTCCAGTGCCTGCTAAAAGGAAGAGAGGTGAGGAATGTCTCCCTCAAGATCGCCAGGATCCCAAACAAAGCTGGGAGGGGTCTCCTGGGGTGAATGAAGGAAACCAGGTCTTGGGTCCCCAGGTCTCTTCCTCCCTGAAGAATGTCGCTTCGGGGGCTGCTCAGGGCCCGCTGTACCTCCCACTCATCTCCACGGCGATTGAGGATACTGGTCTCCTCCAGAACCAGTCAGGGCTCCACCTGGTCCTGTGGGGGGCTCCACGATTCCCTCTAGAGTGTGTAGCCCATAGGGACATTATACAGCTGTGTTAAAGACGTTTCTCAGCGACAGGCTGTTTCCCTAGAAAAAGAAAAGTCAATAATTTCAGAATTGCACCCCTGTCTCCCAAGCCTTCACCATGGACGTCTTCTGGAATCTTCTCCCCTTCCAATCATTCTCCTTACCCAGTTCTTCTCTCTCCAGTCCTTTCTGTGGCCCCCTTTCCCGCAGGTCACCAGCTTCCTCTGCACTGACCTGCCATTTCTCTGTGTAACTCTCCCCTGAGCTCCCTTCCTCCCCACACACCCCTGACTTGAGACCCCTTCTATTCACACCCATTGTGCTTCTGCTGCTCCCTCCCCCAGGCATTTTCCTATATATTGGCTACTCACCATACAGAAGTAAAGCCCAACAAAGAGCCCCACGACCGCCACAACCGAGACCAGGGTGATGAGGAAGATTTCCCACGGCACCAGGGACCCGGCAGGCTTCGCCTCACTCACTGCAGTAGCAGCGCCTGTGATAACTCTATCAGAGGTTGTGTGCGTTTCAGCTGGAGCTGATGTTCCAGAGCCTCCAGAGGTCACATTGGACCCAGAGTTGGTGGCTGTGCTGGCCCCACTGGAGGTTGTGCTGGACTCAGAGTTGGTGGCTGTGCTGACCCCACTGGAGGTTGTACTGGAGTTAGAGTTGGTGGCTGTGCTGGCCCCACTGGAGGTGGTGCTGGTCTCAGAGTTGGTGGCTGTGCTGGTTCCACTGGAGATTGTGCTGGACTCAGAGTTGGTGGCTGTGCTGGCCCCACTGGAGGTGGTGCTGGACTCAGAGTTGGTGGCTGTGCTGACCCCACTGGAGGTTGTACTGGAGTTAGAGTTGGTGGCTGTCCTGGCCCCACTGGAGGTTGTGCTGGTCTCAGAGTTGGTGGCTGTGCTGACCCCACAGGACATTGTACTGAACTCAGAGTTGGTGGCTGTGCTGACCCCACTGGAGGTTGTGCTGGTCTCAGAGTTGGTGGCTATGCTGGTTCCACTGGAGGTTGTGCTGGTCTCAGAGTTGGTGGCTGTGCTGGCCCCACTGGAGATTGTGCTGGACTCAGAGTTGGTGGCTGTGCTGACCCCACTGGGGGTTGTGCTGGTCTCAGAGTTGGTCGCTGTGCTGGCCCCACTGGAGGTTGTGCTGGTCTCAGAGTTGGTGGCTGTGCTGGCCCCACTGGGGGTTCTGCTGGAATTAGCGTTGGTGGCTGTGCTGGCCCCACTGGAGGTGGTGCTGGTCTCAGAGTTGGTGGCTGTGCTGACCCCACTGGAGGCTGTGCTGGAATTAGAGTTGGTGGCTGTGCTGGCCCCACTGGGGGTTGTGCTGGTCTCAGAGTTGGTGGCTGTGCTGACCCCACTGGACATTGTACTGAACTCAGAGTTGGTGGCTGTGCTGGTTCCACTGGAGGTTGTGCTGGTCTCAGAGTTGGTGGCTGTGCTGTCCCCACTGGAGGTTGTGCTGGACTCAGAGTTGGTGGCTGTGCTGGCCCCATTGGAGGTGGTGCTGGACTCAGAGTTGGTGGCTGTGCTGACCCCACTGGAGGTTGTGCTGGACTCAGAGTTGGTGGCTGTGCTGACCCCACTGGAGGTGGTGCTGGTCTCAGAGTTGGTGGCTGTGCTGGCCCCACTGGACCTTGTACTGGTCTCAGAGTTGGTGGCTGTGCTGACCCCACTGGAGGTTGTGCTGGTCTCAGAGTTGGTGGCAGTGCTGGCCCCACTGGAGGTTGTGCTGGACTCAGAGTTGGTGGCTGTGCTGACCCCACTGGAGGTGGTGCTGGTCTCAGAGTTGGTGGCTGTGCTGGCCCCACTGGACCTTGTACTGGTCTCAGAGTTGGTGGCTGTGCTGACCCCACTGGAGGTTGTGCTGGTCTCAGAGTTGGTGGCAGTGCTGGCCCCACTGGAGGTTGTGCTGGACTCAGAGTTGGTGGCTGTGCTGGCCCCACTGGAGGTTGTGCTGGAATTAGAGTTGGTGGCTGTGGCTGTGGCTGTGCTGACCCCACTGGAGGTTGTGCTGGACTCAGAGCTGGTGGCTCTGCTGGCCCCAATGGGGGTTGTGCTGGACTCAGAGTTGGTGGCTGTGCTGGCCCCACTGGAGGTTTTGTGGGAGTCAGAGCTGGTGGCTGTGCTGGCCCCAGTGGTGGTCACACTGAATCCAGTGCTGGCAGTGGTGCTAGTCCCACTGGAATGTATTGCTGAAGAAATCATGTAATGACAAATACATATTGTGTATATATACTTTCTGCTTACTGCTTGACTAAATTCATTACATAAATAATTTTATTTCATGCTCACCACAGCCCTGTAACATAGATGCTATTAGTATCAGCTGAAATGAAGAAATTGAAGATTAAAAAATGTGGACACTGGCCCAAGTGTACACAGCTAGTGAGTAGTGGAACAGGAAACTGAACCCAGGCTACTGAATCTGCACTTGTGGGGACTAAGCTAAGTCACCCACACACCCCCGACACCAAGTTACATCACCTAGTTTTATTGGTAAGTAAGCTTATTCCATATTCTACTATACAAGATCCAATACAGATAAAAAGTATTATAAAAGAATTATAGGACTAGTATATATGGATCATTTTATTCTTAAGTAGTATTGCTTCCATCTTAGAAAAATATTTCTCAGAATAATATTCAGAAAACACCTATATCAGAATTACTTAAGGGAGCATGTTGAAAATATTTTTAAGCAAAAAGATTCTTAGGCAAATCACTCCAGTCTAAATGAATTGGAGTTTGAGATGGGGCCCAGGTGTCTGCTCTTCAGCAAGAAACCAGGTGACGAAATGCATGAAAGCTCCAGGAGCCCTTGATCACTATGGCCAAGGCTGGAGAAGAACAAGTTATATGTAGCTCAAATACATAAGAGCTCCCAGGATTCAGGGCTGTACACCAAGGTCTCAAGGTAGAGGGAAGGTTTTCAACTTCTTGGAGGCTCGGCTGGAATTAAGGTTGTTTCAGATTTTTGCCCTTTATTTCCCTGAAGGATGAAGACATTCAGCCTCCCCAGCCTGTACATGGGAGGCTGACGTGGAATTAGGTGTAGGAGTAAAAGAGAAATAGAGTTTGTAGAATACAGAAGAGTGATATTTTATGTTATTTCATTTTTTGTTATTGATTGATTCTTGAGATGGAATCTTGCTCTGCCATCCAGGCAAGAATGCAGTGGTGCAATCTCGGCTCACTGCAACATCTGCTTCCCAGGTTCAAGCGATTCTTCTGCCTCAGCCTCCTGAGTAGCTGTGATTACAGGCATGAGCCACCATGCCCACCTAATTTTTCTATTTTTAGTAGAGATAGGGTTTCACCATGTTGGCCAGTCTGGTCTCAAACTCCTGGCCTCAATACATCTGCCCGCCTTGGCCTCCCAAAGTGATGGGATAACAGGCCTGAGCCACAGTGCCTGACCTTATTTTATTTTATTTTTTTTTTTTTCAGACGGAGTCTTCCTCTGTCACCCGGACTGAAGTGCAGTGGCACCATCTCAACTCACTGCAACCTCCACCTCCTGGGTTCAAATGATTCTCCTGCCTCAGCCTCCTAAGTAGCTGGAACTACAGGGGTGAGCCAACATGCTCAACTAATGTTTGTATTTTTAGTAGAGATAGAGTTTTGCCATGTTGGCCAGGCTAGTCTCAAACTTCTGACCTCAATGATCTGCCTGCCTCACCGTCCCAAGGTGGTGGGATTACAGGTGTGAGACGCTGTGCCCCACAAGGAGAGTGATATTTTAAAAGCAGCCAACTCTTGTTCTTAATACTTAAAACCCCAGCCATATTACACAGGTTGTTACCATTTTAAAGATGCAGAAATTGAGGCACAGAGAGAAGCAACTGACCCAAAGCACACAGTTAATAGATGGAGCCGTAATTCAGATGTAGGCAATGTGAGACCAGAGCCCAATCTTAACCACTGTCTGACTGCCTCCCGCGTGAAATACATTGTTAGGCTGAAGTGATAAGAGTCAAATGATGATCCTCACTCTATGGAAGAGAAACAGAGCTAGTCTCAACAGTGGTTACATCTCCTCCAACTCCTCAAAAGTTCTCAGACCACCCGCTTTTGAATAAAGTCACTCACCGGCTTCTAAAAGCAATAGTAGCCAAAATGTAAGGAGAACATTTCCTTTTCTCTGCATCTTCATCTGTCTCTTTGTGGCTGTAAAGCAAGATACCTGGGTCCTAGATGTGCCAAGACTTTAGAGCACAAAGAGCAGAGGATTCTTAAGAAAGGGGACTTCAAGGTGAAAAGATAAAGGCTGATGCTTCCAGGAGTGTGGGTCTCCTACGTTAGTCTCCCTGGGAAGAACCTTGGGCTTGGGCGTGGGCAGCTGGGTGCCTGGCTTCCTTAGGCTTCCTCCAGGCAATGTAGTTGCCTCTTTCTCTCTTGTGAAAGGGCTGCAGAGGCCTTTATAGCTTCATATGACCTGGGGAGAGGTGGGGCAGTTGACCTGACAGTCTGCCAACTACAGGCAGGTGACAGAATGATACGAAGACTGGGAAGGAATAGAGCAGGGGTCAAGAGGAAGGTGAGAAGGGAGAATGACATGATCACACTAGGCAGGGTGCTGGACCGGGTTGCAACAGGAAGTAGAATGGGATAAGGAGATCAAGGTTGTTAGAGTGGAAGGGACCCACCCTTTGAAGCAAGGATCGGGTTAGAAACCTGTTCCAGCTCAAGAATTTGTTTTCTGGTCAGGAAGTCCTGTGAGCCTGCTTTAACATGAAAGAAGCCCTAATGAGCTGAGCCAAGAGGGTGGGACATCACATATCTGCAGCAGGCAGTAATAGGGGACCCAAAAGAGACCAGTAACTAGGAATCTGGGTTCCTGGATTATGAGCAGAAGACAAATGGAGTGTTGCTGTGTATGCAGTAGGCACTCAACAATGTACATTGAAGGAACATAATGAAGAGAGATAATGAAAACATTTTTGGAGTCTCTGGGGCATGGAAACTGAGGGCATGGGAGAATATTGAATATGTCACCTGTCAGACGCATAGCAGGTGAAGGAAGGTAGGGTCTCCTTCTGACCCTCAACCATAGGAGTTCTCCTCTGTTTTGTTTTTGTCTTGAGAGGGCCCTATAGGAGTCTTTCCACCCTGAGATCCTTCTGATGTGCCTTCCCATCAGTTCCAAGACAGCATCTCTCAGGAGAATACACACTGTAGGGAGAGGCACAGTGCCGTATGAGGACATAAGTCTGATGGGAGGAGGGAGATCAACGGTCCACATCAACAATCCCAGTAGGAGCCTTGAATTTGGTCTGGACACTTGGCCAGCAGAAAGGACACACAGTCAGCTAAATGAGCATGAGTGAAGAGACTCAAATGAGCAGAAGATTTTGGGAGATCTGAGATGGCATCTTGAGACCAGGCTGATGGGGTTCCCATGTGCCATCTGCATTTTCTGTCTTAGTCCATTGGTGTTGCTATAAGGGAATCCCTGACTTTAGGTTACATAGAGAAAAGAGGTTTATTTGGCTCATGGTTCTGTAGGCTGTATGAGAAGCATGGCACCAACATCTGTGCTCATGAGGGTTTCAAAAAGCTTCTACTCATGGTGGAAGGAGAAGGGAAGACAGTTCGTACAGATCATGTAGCGAGAGAGAGAGAAAGCTGGAGGAGGTGACAGGATCTTTTCAACAACCAGGTCTTGTGGGAACTAAGAATGAGAAATCACTGGTTTGAGAATGGCACGGAGTTGTTCATGAGGGATCGGTTTCAACCACACAACCTCCTCCCACCAGGCTTCACCTTCAAAATTGGGGATCAAATTTGAACATGAGACTTGGCAAGGCCTAACACCCATCCCAACCATAGCAATGACCAACATGAGTTGTCTCCATTTTCTCCCATTAATGACAAAAAGCTTCCTGGAAGACGCAATCTCTCAGATATTTCTTTTTGTAGGCGAACACGCTTTCCTGACAGGCAAGTTCTGTTAGAAGGAAGCTGGTAAACAGGAGGTGGCTGAAGACATGAAGGAACTCTGAATGAGTGAGACAGAGAAGGAGAAAGGGTCAGGGTTGTCCTGGGAAAGGCTCAGAATTGAGTTTGCCCGGTGGCAGTGATAGGAAGTTCCAGAGGCTCAGGTGTGCAGGAACGCTCAGTGACAGGTTGGGTCCCAGACTCCTAGCAGTCCTCCTCTGTAGCTGAAAAGCCAATAGAACTCTAAGAATTTTCTTCCTCCAGAATTATTTAGAAACAGAGATCCTGGATTTAAGTCCAAATCTCACCTTTTAGAAGCTAATCTGGAAATTGTAGCACACAAACTTATCAGAGCCTAATGTAATTAGTATCTTTACTTGCTATCAAAATAATACAAAGACCTCAGAACATTTTTATTCTTATTACCCATCTCCCAAGTCATACTCTAATATCATCAAGTATTTTAATTCCATCTTGTTTTTTAACTTCGTGAAAGATTGCTGTTGTCTGCTTACACACCCTCAGCCTGAACACAGTCACACAGCTACATTAAGCTGCAAGAGAAACTGAGAAAGACTGTCTCTAGCTGGGTTGATGTGTGCTCAGCTGATACTTGAGAGTTCTGTTGCTAAAGATGAAGAGTGGGTATTCGCAGACAACCATAAAGCCATGACATGATCCAGCAATCCCACTACTAGGTATGTACCCCAAAGAAAGGAATTCATTATATCAAAGAGATATCTGCATGCCTATGTTTGTTGTAGCACTGTTTGCAATAGCTAAGATTTGGAACCCACCTAAGTGTCTATAAATGGATGAATGAATAAAGAAAATGTGGTACAGGCCAGGCATGGTGGCTCTTGCCTGTAATCCCAGCATTTTGGGAGGCCAAGGTTGGGTGGATCGCGAGGTCAGGAGTTCCAGATCGGTCTGGCCAACATGGTGAAACACCATCTACTAAAAATACAAAAATTAGCTGAGTGTGGTGGAGGGCACCTGTAATCCCAGCTACTTGGGAGGCTGAGGCAGGAGAATCATTTGAACTTTGGAGGTGGAGGTTACAGTGAGCCAAGATCACGCACTTCAGCCTCAGCAACAGAGTAAGAATATGTTCAAAAAAAAAAAAAAAAAAACAGAGAGAGAGAAGAAAATAAAATGTGGCACATATACACAGGGCAACACCATTCAGCCATGAATGTGAAAGAATGAGATTCAGTCATTTGCAACAATGTGGTTGGAAACGGAGATCATTATGTTAAGTGAAATAAGCCAGAGACAGAAAGAGAAGCAGTCCATGTTCTCATTTATTTGCAGGATCTATAAATCAAAACAATTGAACTCATGGACATCAAGACTAGAAGGATGGTTACCAGGGGCTGGGAAGGGTAGTGGGAGGGCCGGGGGAGGTAGAGATAGTTAATGAATGAATTAATTAAATGAATTAAATTAATTTTTAAAAACAAATGAATTAGAATGAATAAGACCTATTCTTTGATAGCACAACAGGCTAACTATAGTCAATAATAATTGTATATATTAAAATAGCATGAGGAGTGTAACTGGATTTTTTGTAACTCAAAGGAGAAGTGCTTGAGGGAATAGATACCTCATTCTCCGTGATGTGCTTATTTCACACTGCATACCTATATCAAAACATCTTATTTATCCCAAAAATACATATACCTGCTATGTACCATAAAAAGTAGAAATTTTTAAAAATTGAAAATAAAGCCATGACACACATTTAAACCTAATTACTGTATAACCTGTATTTAATAATTTCAATACCTAAAGTTTTGTGGATCTGATACTGCTGTCTAGTTTTTAGGTTTTGTTTTTTTCCTTGCTGATTTTCACTCATGGTGTCTGTTTTCACTTGTGCTTTGAGAATCATGACTATAAACTTATTTTTCTTGGAACGTTATCCATTGAGGTCAAGGCTGCAGTGACACTAGCAGAGCTCACTGTGGCCTGGACCTCCTGGGCTCAGGCAGCCCTACTGCCTTGGCCTCCCAAAATTCTGGGATTGCAAATTAAGGTGTGATCTTTCACAGAGGATTTGCATGTTTTTCCCAAGCATATGGAGACATTACCATTTGAGGATTATTTTCTTTATTATTATATTTTTAATTTATAAAAAAAATTTTATTGACACACTGTTACTGTATATAATTATGGGGTACAATTTAACGTTTTGATACATATATATGCTGCATAATTTGAGGATTATTTTAAATTAAACCATAGGATATCAGTCTTTGGAAGTACCTGGATTGTGTGACTTGTGGCTACAAACTGTCGAGTCTGACCCACAGACACTGACCCAGCGACAGATGAACAAATGCACTCAGACACAGATATCTGGTGACAGAGTGGGCTAGGGGACCAGGCCACTTACAGACAACGAGGAGAGTGCTGTGAAGAGTCAGGAGCCAGGGCCCTCACAAGCTGGTGCAGCATGCATTTATTCAGTATAGATTTAATGACAAAGGCTTTGAGTCAACGCATTTGTGGATAATTAACATGATCGCCCTCCCCAAAGAGAGCAGTCTTACAGATGATTAAAGGCCATGTTCCAGCACCTAAGTAAACTAACTTATCTAGATCAGTTTCTTTACATCCCCTATTTATCTAACTTAAGCTTTCAGGCACCAGATAAGAGAATCTGGCTGCCTTCAGTCAAATCATATTACAAGGCTTTTGCAGGATCTTCTGGCCTTCCAAGAAGGTTTGCATCCGTTTTACAACTTTTCCCACCACCCTGACTGAACTCTGACACCTCCCCCTTTTCTGTTTTTTGCATCAGGTTTTGTTGATTGAAGAGCACAGATGTGTACAAGAACAGATTTGTCTGGCCCAGTAGTCACTGCTTGTATTCCAGCCTTACATCTGAGAATTAGTAAATAACACAGGACAAACAGGAGTGTAATCAATAACATTCTTTTCCAATCAAGGAATGATCCCCCCAGGAGTGGTGGTCAATCCAGGAGAAATGTTCTTGCACACCCTTCCATATGGCTGTTTGTTGGGTGTGTGAATCTACAGCATTTAGGGATTCTGGAATTTTAGTTTTAAGTTGCTTTACATCTGCTATTAAATTATCATGGAATGTTCCCCAGAGGTGTTGTTTCACCTTATCCCATGTATGGATTGATTCCAAGGTACAGAGGTGACACAGGTATGCTTCTGCTCCCAGTCACAATTTAATTGGTGTCAGAATGCCAGTGCATCTTGTCACTCCCCTACATATTCCAAAGCAGGTTTCGAGAGCTTGCAGACTATGCAAGAATCTTTTGATCTATACCTTGCTGTAAGAGAAGTTCATTGGACACATTTATGGCCAGATTATCTACAAATGTCATTGTTTGCACTGATTCAGTAATAGATGCTACAGCCACACTAGCAGTAGCTGGGATGAGTATGTCTGAGACTATCAAGGCTGTAAGTGT